TTGCTAGAGGGAGTAGAGGGGAGGGAGAAGAGGAAAGAGGGCTTCTGATGACTCTTCCGACTTTTTGAGTTCACAAGTAAATTGGTCAAGTCCATCTCCCCATAATATTCACCTAATACCAGGGAAAATAAAACACAAAAAAAGATGTGGTCTGGAGGATTTGGTGTTTGAAAAGATGACCTGCTTCAGTCTGAGGGGAAATATAAACCCCCAGAGTGGTGGGCTATGTAATCAAGGACATTTGAGGGTGAACAGTGTCTTCAATTACATCACAGATCCTGAAATTGTTCTGGAAGTGAGGGACACTTACTCCCAGGGGAAGTGAGAAAGGGGAAACTTGTAGGGGAAGTTATACAAAGCAATGACAGAAACATCTAGAGGTAGAGCCCAAAATGGATGCCTTGGAAGTTTTGATCACAAGAGGAAATCAGAGACTAGAAACAGAGTAGATAATTATACGGGTCATGGACCAGAGAATGAGAGTCCAAAGTACACAAAGAGGATGGATAATGAAGAAAGTGAGAGAAAGTCTCTCTGGGAAGGGATGCAAAAAAGTGAAATTTAGAAAAACTAAGGAACAGGACTAACTGAAGGAGTGGAGAGAAAGATGCCAGCTACATGTTTAACTGAGAGGGGCAAAAAAAAGAGGGGAGGAAGAACAGATACAAGCAAGAATGAGGGGCAACTAGGATAGAGCACCAGCTCTGGAGTCAGGAGGACCTGAGTTCAAATCCGGTCTTAGATCAGACACTTATACTTACTAGCTGTGTGACCCTGGGCAAGTCACTTAACCTCATTTGCCTCATATTTAAAACAAACAAAACAAGAATGAAAAAGAAATAAGCAAAACCCCAAAGGGAAAGGGGTAACAAACAAAGGATACGAGGGTGAGGGGAAGAGTGCCAGTAGCATTAAGGCAACCTTAAAAAAGAATAAGATTAAGCTAAAATAACTGGAAAAAGATTGTACTGTGTTTACAGCAGAAGGGGGGAAATCATAATTTGAAAAAAACAATACTGAAGACAAATGGACAAAAATACAGTCTTAACCATCATAACAGGGGCAGCTAGGTGGTTCAGACACTTGACACTTACTAGCTGTGTGACCTTGGGCAAGCCACTTAACTCCACTGCCCAGCCAAAAAGCAAAAAACAAACAAAAAACACATCATAACATTAAATGTGAATGGTAAACAAAGCAATAAAACAAAAAACAGTGGGGGGAGAAAAAGGACAACAAACCTGTATGATTTGGGGCTTACAAAAAAAACCCCAACAAAACAAAAATATACACAAAATTAAACTGAGGTGACAGAAAAAAAATTTACTATGCATTAAGTGAATCCAAAAAAGGAGATGCAAATCATAATGACAAAGCAAAAACAAACATTCAAAAAATAAAGGATATACAAGGAAATTACATTATGCTGATATGAAAAAGACAATAAACCAATATCAGTAATAAACAGATAAGCTCCTTGGCATCCAATTGGAGTAAAGGAAACATGATATGAGCTACAAAAAGACCCAACAGTGAGAGAAACATCAATATCCTTCTCTGTTTTGAGTAAGTGTAACAGAAAGAAACAAAAAGAAAATACAGAACTGAACAAATTGCAGGAGAAATTAGGGTTAAGTTTTATGGCATCTTCTAAATGGGACTGCAAAAGAATATACCTATTTCTCAGCATGACATGGAACTTTTACAAAAACTGACCATGTACTAGGGGCACAGAGATATTACAAACAAATTTTAAAAAGGGCAGAAATAGTCAATACACCTTTACGACCACAACACAATAAAAATTATAATAGGTTCATCAAAAACAAAAATCATCAACCAAAATAGAGACTTAACAATGAAATCCAAAACAATAAGTTGGTCAAAGAACAAATCATAGCAACAATTAGTAATTAAGTAGAAGAAAACAATAATGATGAAATAGCATATCAAAATTTCTGGCATTTGGCTAAAGCAATGCTCAAGAGGAAAATCACATCCCTACAAACATACACCAAAAAAAAAAGAGACGATTAATGAACTGAAAATACATTTAAAAAAATTAGAGAGCCAACAAATAAACCTAAATTGAGAACAAAAGAGAAGATATTAGAAATTAGAAGGGAAATAGCTAAACTGGAAACAAAAACATAGTGTTAAATAAACCTGAAAACTGGTTCTCTGAAAAGACTAATAAAACTAATACAGCTAATCAGATTAAAAAAGATGAGGGAAGAAAATTTAAACCAATAACAACAAATGAGCAAGGTGAAATCACATAATAATCAGAACCTATTATGAAAAGTTATATGCTAAAAAAACTGAGAACACAAAAGAAATAGAGGGATGATGGTGATGATAACAATAGCTGACATTTATTTAGTGCTATTATGTGCCAGGAACTATGCTAAGTGCTTTACAATTATCACCTTATTTGATTGTCACAATAACCCTGAGAGGTAGAAGCTGTTATTATCCCCATGACAGAAAAGGTATCAGTGACTAGCCCATGGCCACTTTCTGATTCCAGTCTTTCTGACTCCAGTCTGAGCACTCCATCCTCTACCTCCCACAAAAATATGAAATACCCGAAATATCAAAAGACCAGAAAGAGATCCTAAATAACTCAATTTCAGAAAAGGAAATGGATCCAGTCTTAAAGGAATTAGCAAAGAAAAAAATTCCTGGTATTGATCAATTCAAAACAGAATTATATCAAATTTTTAAAGAACAATTAGTACCCATACTTCAAAAGTTATTCTCAATAATTGAGTAAGAAAGCACCCTTCCAGAATCCTTATACAAGGTAAACATAATCCTCATTTCTAAACCAAAGAAAGAAAGCATAGAAGGAAAACTATGGAAAATACCATGAATAAATACTGAAATCAAAAACTTTAAATAAAATCCTATCAAAGAGACTACAGAAATTTATCCAAGAAACCATTTGTTATAACCAAATGGGATTCATAGCAGAGATGCAAGATGGTTGAATACTAAGAAAACAATTCACATATTCCTATTAAAAATTACAACATCCAAAACCACAGAATCATCTTAAGAGATACAGAAAAAGCCTCTGACAAAGTACAGAACTCTTTTATGCTACAGATCCTACAAAGGACAGGCACAGAAGGAACTTTCAAAAAATATCATAAAAAGCATCTAACTAAAACTAAAACTAAGCATTATATGCAATGAGAATACACTAGAACCTTTTTCCTATACACAGAAGAGTGAAACAAGAATGCCTACACCCCCCACTATTATTTGATATACTTCTGAAAATGCTAGCAACAGCAACAAAATAAGAGAAAGAAATTAAAGGCATAAAAAAAAAGATATTTACTGATACGATAGTAAACTTGGAAAACCCTAGAAAATCAACAAAATTATTATGACAATAGCTTTAGCAAAGTTGCAGGCTACAAACTAAACTCTCAAAAATCAACAGTATTTCTATAAATTAATAATAAAACCCAAGAAACAATAATAGAAACGGAAATCTCACTACAAACAACTACAAAATACATAAACTACCTGGAGACTGACCTACCAAAGCACACATGAGACTTGTACAGATTCAATTCAGTGTTTTTTAAAGAAATAAAGAACTTAAATAGTTCAAGGAATATTTGGTATTCACAACTAGGCTATGCCAAAGTAATAAAAATGACAATACTATCAAAGTTAATTTACACTTTTCATGATATATCAATTAAATTACCAAGGAGATACTTTCTAGAACTTGATACATAATAAAAATTCATTTGGAAAAAGAAAAGATCTAGAATATCAGCCTTTAAATTATATTACAACCCAACGGTTATCCATACTCTCTGGTACTGGTTAAAAAATAGAGAGAGCTTTGGAAGAGACCACACAAGAAAGAATTAGAAACACGGAACTCAATAACCCATGAAAAAGCACAAAACATAATTACCTCAGGAAAATAAAATAAAATAACTTTCTGGGAAAACTGGAAAGCAGTCTGACAGAAATTAGGCTTAGACTAACTCCATTCTAACTGAATATGTGACCTTAATATTTATTACAGAGAAAGAGATCATATGCCTCTCAGAGCTATAAACAGGAGATGTATTCTCCACCAAATAACAGACAGAAGCAATCAAAAAAATAAAACAGGTAATTTTGACTACATGAAAGTGAAAAGTTTCTGCAAAGATAAAATTAATGTACTTAGGATAAGAAGGGAATCACTATAAAATAGCTGTTTATACATCTTGGATATCAAAATCTTACTGGAGAAATCTGAAATATATATCCACACACAGATAAAAAAGGAAGCAGCTAAAGGAAGAAAAAAAAATCTGTTTTATACACACACACACACACACACACACACACACACACACACACACACACACACACACTATACCCACTCCCCAACAGATAAGTAGTGAAAAGATAAAAACAAACAGTTCTGAAAAGAAGAAATTTAAAGTATTCATATGAAAGAATGCTCTAAATCGCTAATAAAAAAAACAAATCAAAACAATCCTAAGGTTTTACCTTACATCCTGCAAATTGGCAAAGATGACAAAATTGCAATAATCATGCTGGAGGGGTTGTGGAATGAAATGATAGGCACGCTAAAATATTGGTGGAGCTATGAAATGGTATGACCATTTTGGAATTATGCAAATAAAAGTAATACAAGCTTTACACATCGAACATGTTTTTGGATTTTTTCAATTTATCAATCAATTGTGCGGATTTATTTTTTTCCTCTTAAAAAATACTATTTACTACATGGGATAGCTCTCTGGAAGAAGGAGTGGTAGGCGGAAAGTCACTTGGGATAACTATGATGATTTAAGAAACAAATATCAATAAAAACTTTAAAAATAAAAAAAGAATGATCCTTTCAAGTTTATTTCAAATAGGACAGAATATCAAATACCTGGAAAAAAGAGCAAAATCAAAAGATATCATTAATACCAAATGTAAAGGTAATTGAGAAATCAATAATTACTAACCGTTCTGCCCACTTTCTTCATCGGATATCTAGCACCTGGTTTACTGAGTTCCCCTACAAAAAATGTTAAAGAGAAAAATCTGGAATTACATTTGTAATTATTTTGATGTAAAGGGCTTCTCCATAAAGAAGTCATGCAACGTGGGGAGTAACTTTCATCTATAAGAATATATGAGAGATAGCTGGAGAACACATGGACAAAGTTGAGGAGATACTTCTTTCTTGATAAAACTATCTTAACTGTTATTTTATGAAGAAACATTATAAAGAAAATTCTATGTAACAGTGCAATTTTTGAAAGAGTTAACTATGATAGCAAAAGAGGAGAAAGAAAATAGAACTAAATAACATTTCCTGAAAAACTGAACTTAACTCTTTCCCTGGAGACAAATGCATAGAGGATACTTTAATCAGTATCTTGAGACTTTAATCAGCATCCCGAATGAGCTGAATTGCAAAATTTTATATCCAGAAGAACTATCTTCTATTGTCACAGTGAAGTTCACTCTAGCTAGCTAAAATGTTGTAAAATATTGATTTCACTGTTACTACAACATATATTTATTAACTTTGATATATCAATTTAATCATAGGAGACAAAGGGATTTGATATTCAAAGATATCAGAAAGTACTATCAGGAAGAGAATTTTCTCCAGTTTATTAAATAAATACTGTTTAATGATCTAAAAATGGAGGTTCAGATAGATTAATGAGAAAGAAATTTTAATCCTGTTAGTAAGAAAAGATCCATGAATACCTCTGAACTACCCCAGAACTCTGGGGTCCATTAAATATGGAAGCAAACCAAGAAGCAAACTGGAGAGATCGACCCCCGCATGAAGCAGGCTGTGAAAAACACAGCTCTACATGCAACAAGGTATTATGGGTCTAGTGTGTGATCAGTTGCAGCTCATCCAATCTCAGCTTGTCACTTGACTCATTCCCTATAAATTATTTTCATGCTCCCTAGCTATATAGCAATCTAAGAGTACGCTATGATAATTTATTTCTCATTAATACATTTCCTTGTCAGGCACTCCAGTTCATTAGACAGTAGTTAATATTGGTAATAACTAATATTTAATGAACTAGAGAAACATCCTTTCCCAATATTTCAATTACATTCATGGACTAAAACGTGTTCAACCACAGTTCAGTGGATGGGCATATATTTGCTTCTAGTTTTTGCTAATATTTAGATATGGGGCTTTTGACTTTTGTTTTGGTGAGGGAAGTATATTTAAATAAATATTAAAATTATAAATTATTAACTAACGAAATTCATAATAAGGGCATTTAACATTTTGGTTTGATCAATGTCACAGCCTGAATCGCCACAAAAATCCTGACTATATTAGCAGGTGCCTTTCCTTTACTTGCAAAAACTCAGTCTTCAACCATTAAATTTTCTCCAAAGGAAAAGAAGACCTTTTCCTCTCCTTTCTTTGAAGTTGGCTTCTCCTCAGCCACAGCAGGAAATCATTTCTTCACCCTATCTTAACAGTCTCTCTCCACAACCAAGCAAAATTTCATTTATCATAGATTAAAAAAAAACAAAACCACACACATCTTCTCTATGACTCCACTCGGATAAGTATTCCACATTAAGCCATCTTTTCAAGGGACTGTTCACAAATTCTCATAGGTAACGAATAAAACATACACATTCTCCTTGATTTTATAAGGAAGGTATTTCACACCAAGCCATTTCTCAAGTGACTTTTAAACTACAAGCATAAAACTGCTTTTTTTAATCTCAACATTTTAATTCCTAAAGGTACTGTAACAACATCTGTGGTCTATATAACATTTCAGTTGGTTTTTTTTTTCCAGTCATGTCCAACTTTTGGTGATATCATTTGAGGTTTTCGTGGCAAAAATTCTTGAGTGGTTTGCCATTTCCTTCTCTAGTTCATTTTGCAGATGAGGAACTGAGGCAAACAGGGTTAAGTGACTTGCCCAGGGTCACACAGCCAGTAAGCGTCTGAGGCCAGAGGTGAATTCAGGCAGATAAGTCTTCCTGACTCTAGGCCTGGCACTCTATCCATTTCACCACCTACCTGCCCTGTATGCTACGGAAATACAAACCCACTAAAATCCTGGAGCAGAACTGTAACTTGGAGCAACTATTCTGGAAAACAATAAAAAATTAAATTAGCCACACAATGCTCTACCTCTGCAGTCCCACCTAAAACTGGGAGAAGTAGTGAAGGAAAAGCACAGAGTACATACAGGATTCCTATTTTTCTGGAGAGGAAGGAACTGATTATATTAGCCCTAGACCCTCAACTTCTTCAACCCATTCAAGACCACAGAGGATGCAGTGCTGGTCTAGAACTACAACAGAAGGCAGGACAATTGTAGGAGGGTCAGGGAACAGGGACTGTAAAATCCTCCAAAATTACTATCCTCTGAGCCTATATGAGATTCCTAACTCAACACCCTCATACAGGACTAGGATCCTAGAGGGGAGTAAGGCTCAGTTCATCACCCCAATTCAAGAATGGGGCAGATTCCAGAGAGCCCTGTGATCCCATCTCAATTACTCCAGCCAGGACCAATGAACTTCACCTCAGTATACCAGGCCAAGGAACGAAAAAACACAATGTAGCTATTAGCAGTTCTCCACTGTAGAACCAGAATAACTCTGCAGCTAAAGGAAGTTCAAAAGAAACAATGGGGACACTTTCATTAGCCTTCACTAATGGAAAGCTTAACAAAGATGTAAGTAAATGGAAGAAAACTTCCAATACAATGAAGAAATACTATGAAACCCAAGATAAATTTCAGAAGTAATTTTGCAGTAATTCCAAGTAGGACCTAGAAAGAAAAAAATTATGGATTGCTCACAAGGAATCTAAGAGTGGAAGGAAGAAGTGAAGGAAGAGCTAGAGAGATAATCAAATTAGAGCTCTTACAGAAAATCAGGTAAAACAAACAACTTAGTACAGAAGGTGGAAAATCTTGTCTAAGTAGTAGACATCCTGAAAGAGATATGGAGCAGAGCTAAAAAAATTCAAGTTCCTGATAAGGAATATTAGAACAAAATCAAAAGACTAAAAATCAGAAGAAAGGAAACTAGCATTTATTAAGTACTTCCTATGTGCTAGACACTACGTGAAGCATTTTACAAATATCATCTCATTTGATCCTTACAACAACGCTGGTAGGTAGCTTCTATTATACAGCTGATGAAACAAAGTCAGAGTGACTTGCCCAGTTCACAAAGACAGTCAGTATCTGAAGCTGGTTGGGATTCAGGTCTTTCCTGTCTCCACTCTACCTCAAGTATTCAGAAGCACCACCTACTTGCCTCTTCATATATGAAATAGCTACCAAAAACAAATGACCTGAGAATGAGAATAAGGAAAAGACTGAAGAATCATTGGACTAAGACCTGGGCACCACATTTTTAAAAAATCATTAAAGAAAACTGCCTGAGAACCAAAGAACAAGATAAAAAAATGATACAGTCCAAGAGTTATCACCTAAAAGAAACTCTCTATATAATATGCTCATAAACATAATCGCACATTCCAGAGCTTCCAGGTTGAAGAGAATAATACAAGACCCTACTGTATTTAAGTGGATCTTGACAATTTGACAAGATACAGCCTTACAAACTGCCAGCACTGTCAAATGCTGACATTAACATCATACAAAATTCTTTGAAAGATGCAAGTGGCTAAGATTGTTCAACAACCATCAGTGATCTATTATTACCACCTAAGGTATTTGCCACAATCACAGAGGATGTCCAAGTAAGAAATGAAACAGAAGGTGAATTTTCCTCCTTTGAAGTACTGCTATTTATATATGCCATTGTGATTAAATCAAGCTCTAAAATACTACACAGCCCCCTGAGATCCCTAATCACTCAAAAACATGGAGGAAAGGAAGGGAAGGAGGGAGGGAAAAAGGGAAGGAAGGAAAGAAAGGAGGAAGGAAGGAAGGAAGGAAGGAAGAAAGAAAGAAAGAAAGAAAGAAAGAAAGAAAGAAAGAAAGAAAGAAAGAAAGAAAGAAAGAAAGAAAGAAAGAAAGGATTTCTATTGCCCAGATGATGGCACGCAAATGAATGGAGTAAAATCACCTAAATGAGATGCAAAAGCAGAATGATTGTTTTCCCCATTCACAGCAATACAGAGTTGTTGATACACAAGTTTAAAGCTATTAACACTACCACTAAACCGGTTCACCAAGATAAGAGGAAAAGTAGAAGAAATTTCCTAAGGAAACCATTTAATGGTATTTAGTACTTACAATTCTGCTCCCAGGTATGTCTGGGGCAGTGTGGTAGGCAAGGCACAATATTTATGGAAAGTCTTAGGGGTGGGAGGTGGGGGTGAAAAGGAACAAGAAAACCAGAGACATATCACATCTCACTATTATCATAAAGAGATTTTCTTTATTTAAAATACAAAACACTAAAAAAAAAACCCAACCCTTCTGATGTTTAAAAAAAAAAAGGACAGGACAGTGTTTTTGTTTGTTTTTTTCCTGGCTGTTAACAGTAAGTCAGTCAATTAAGTGCTGGTAATATAAATACAAGAAGGAAAAAACACTCTCCCTTCTGAAGGAGCTTACATTATACAGGGGAAGATAACACATAAAAATAAGCTAAAGGGACAGGGAGAGAAGGAGAAGGAAAGAGACTGAGATAGAGACAGAAAATGAATGAGAATGTAGAGAAAGTCCAGGACAGCAGCCTGGAGAGTAATGAAATGTGTCCCTTCCAATGTGTGTGCATTCCAGAGCTGGAGTAAAGCTTCAGGATGAAGAGCTGTGGCATGGAAGAGGAATTCCACAGTGCTGCCTAGAGAGGAAAAGCCCACATTCAAACCATTTGGTCAAAAAAATTACTCTACAAACTTCTTCAGTTATTTCTACAGATTGGACATTCTTTCAGTTTGTCAGTTGTTAAGTAATCTTAGGATCTGAGCACCAGTATTTAAATACCACACTGACACTTCCCTACTTACTAGGAACCACAAAGTTTTAATTGGCCAAATTCAGGGACACTACAACCACTCACCTCTTCCCTAGCTCTGGTTTGCCTTTTATAGTGGAGCCATGTAAGTCTCAGCTGTTTCTAATTACCTCTCAGGCGCTTCCTGGGTGAATGACTCAGCAACCTGACTTTAAAGGAGCCAAACTATTTTCTAACATAATCTACTGGTTAACCAATATTGACTTATTAAACGCGGGTGGGTGTTTTTTTTTAAAGTGACTTCACAGGATAACAGAACTGGAAAGGAAACTGAGGCCCCAAAAGAGTTAAATGGTTTGTCCAAGGTCACAAAGAAAGGAAGTGGCAGAGCCATTTTTTAAACTCAATTCCTCTTTCTCCAAAGTCAGCACACTTCCCACTGCACCAAGCCGAAAGATGATTTGTTCACAATACTTTCCTACCCTAATCAAGCTTCTTTTTTTTTTTTTAAAACAGTCCTCTAGACTGCTTCTAAACAAGCAGTACCTCATTGACCTGAGGAAATCCTACTCCTGTTTTTCTACATCGGTCAGTCAACAAGCATTTATCATCAATCTGATAAAATGAAATACTTTACCACCAATGTTCCTACATTTGCAGTTTATAGCTTTTAGTTATTCAAAACATAAGAGCCTCTATGATCTAGGAGTGTTATATTACAAATTGCATAATTACCATTATCATAAAGAGATTAATTTCTTTATTTAAAACACAAAACCAGATAAATTCATAATGGCAAACAGTTCGAATACTGGCAGTAACACTCCAAAAAGAATACTAGTGCCTATACAACATTTTCTTTTTAAATCATGGGGTTTCCGGTGACACTTTTCACAGCTTCCACGATTACTATTTCATTCCCTTAGCTCTGTCCAAACTTGAATTTTTCTTTAAGAGAATAAAACCATTAGAACTATAATATTCATATTTTATAATGCTGCATGCCAGAAGTGATTTTCAAAATATTAATATTTGACATAGAGTTGACATAGTGATTTATTTTTATTACATACGAGTAAGTTCTAATGCATCCGAGTTTTCGGTTCCCGAAAAAAGATGATCTTCAAATAAGCTGAAAGCAACATGTTTACGTTGTAACCACGAAGGTTACTACTTAAATCTGAGGGGTGCGGTTCTTTTGAGGGGTGGGGTTCTGAGGAGTCAAGAACTATGGATCCAAAGGGTGGCTGGCGGGAATACAAAGCAAATACTAAGCCGTATTTACACGGGGGGTAAAGTCTGTGCTGAGGTGTAACAGCTGCAACACGCCAACGGCCTGGGCACGGGAACACCCACCCCCCCCAGACGGGGCTAAGTGCATACAGCGCAGCGGGGGGTCGCCGACCGCAGGGCGCCCCGAGGCCGGGCGCCCGCTCCTCCCCCGCCCACACCCCCCAACCTGCGGCCGCCCCTCCCCCAAGGCGCAGACCCGCAGCTTCCCGCCCGCCTCCGACTCCGCTCTACTCACCCCCGACAGCTACACAGCCCAGGGTAGGGGGGGAGTCACTTCCCGCCAACCCACAGGGACGCAGATTCCGGGGAGACGGCGGTTGCTGACAATGTCAGAATGCCGAGCTCCGGTCGAGTGCCCGAGCCCCACCAGGAAAACGATCAGGTGACCGTCAGCCTCTCGCTTCTTTCTCTCTTCTTCCCCCCCCACCCCCGCCTTTCTCCGCCTCGGCGAGGCTCGTGGCCCCGCCCCCTTCCGTCCACACCGATGATTGGCTAGCGAGGCTCGTGGCCCCGCCCCCTTTCGTTCACGCCGATGATTGGCCCGTGAGGCCCGTTGGAACACGTCAGTCCCGGTCACTAGTTTCTCACCACTCTGGAAAACGGGCTGGTGGAAAGAAGAGAAGGGGTGGAGTCCGGGCTGGGAGTGACCGGCCAGCGTGGGCCGTCCTTCCCCGGATCCCATCCACTGGGGGTGCAACCGGGACGTGCATACCTCTCTTCTCTCTATTGTGTTACCTGAGCGTGAGCTGCTGTGTATGGTTGCATTAATTAAGAAATGAAACACGAAATTAAATTACAAGAACAACACATTATTTTACGCCCCAAAAAGGGAAAAAAGGGAGTAGGTGGAGGGGAAGGAATGACAAACTCTCCTGACTCTAACTCATCCTATTGTATCATTTGCTTAAAGTGGAAAAGGAACTTAAGTTGTTGAACAAAGCAATCAGCATCTCATGGATTTATACTCTTAAAAATTTAAAGTCGATATTTGGAACTGAGAAGTCTTGCAAAAGGCACGAATTGAATGATTTAGACCCTGTTTCTTTCCTGGCTGGTTTGAGTAAGGAAGATATATGTATATGCCAACATGAGACTTCAATATGTGACTCTAGTGGAGGAGTAAAAATTATTTTCAAGGAAAAGAAAATGGGGAAAAGACCGTCTTTGAATGAAACCTCCCCATTTTATACTTAAGAAAAATTCCATTGGAGAAGGTAAAACTGATAAAATATTTAACACTGGAATTACAATGTTATGAGGAAATCATGGAACACCACAATCTCAAAAGAATCAAAATTACAGGTAACCCAAAGGGCAATGGAATACAGCGCATTTATGCAGTATTTTTTAGTTTGCTGAGGAAACAAGCTCAAAAAGGTTAAATGACTTGTCCACGGTCTCATAGCTATTAAGGAGCAGAGGCAGAAATGAAACTTACATCTTCTGGACTCCGGTTTCAACACACTTTCCAACACACCACATTGCCTCTGAAAGATGTTTGGCTACCAACCAAAATGAACTAGTTCCAAAAATTGCTGCTTAGGGTGAATGAGATGATACTTAGCGATGACAAAGAAAAGGCAGAGCTCTTCACAATTTTTTGAATGAATCATGGATTAAAGGACAAAAAAATTGGGTGATGATATCCATGTAGATATTAAGAAAATTTTAAGGGAGCCCCTAGCTGCCCTGATGAGTATAAACTATATCCTCAGGCATTTCCTTTTCCAGTGGATTAAGGCAGACAGAGGTTAAGTGACTTGCCCAGGGTCACACAGCTAATATGTGCCCAAGGTCACATTTGAACTCAGGTCTTCCTGACTCTGGGCCCAGCTCTCTATCCACTGAGCCACCTAGCTCAGGAGGACTAGCACCTCTGGCACAAGGGCTTGCTGAGCAGAATGGAAGGATGAAAACAGTTTGCTCCAAAGGCCATGAAGGTGGCTGAAGGAGTCACTGTGGAACAGTTAGATGTTGGTTAGATATTGAAGATGTCAAGGCCATCACCAGCCATCTCGACCTTGTCTTGCTACTAGACTGCAATGACTCTGGAAGAGATAGTGAGGCTTATGACTTCGTGCAGCTCTGCCTCATTTAAATCCAATTCACCCACAAGCCAAGATGTCATTGGTCCTCTTCAAAAATGAAGGACAAACAACATCTGATTCAAGCAAATGTGATTTCTGCACTAGTTTAAATTTATTGTTGAACATGTTAGGAATACTGAAACTAGAACAAGAAATTCATCAATATGTGCCCTTTTTTAGTATGCATGTAGTACTACCAGGAATTTAGCATGAGCTTTAAACCATGCTTACTGATGTTTGGGTGACAGCCGTGCCTATCCATTGTATTGTGCATTGGTGTCTCAGAAAATGGGAAGATGGATTTAAACATCCAAAACCAGCACATCTTGCAGCTTAGAAAATATATTGCCAAGTATCCTGTACTTGGAGGCAGCTAGGCAGCTTAGTGGATAGAGCACTGGACCTGGAGTCAGAAAGACCTGAATTCAAATCCAACCTAAGATGCTGTCTAGGTGTGTGACCCTGGGAAAGTCACTTAATCTGTTTGCCTTAATCCACTGGAAAAAGAAATGTCAAACCACTCTGGTATCTTTGCCAAGAAAACTCCATGGACAGTGTTGGTGTGCCATGGTCCATGGGGTCACAAAGAGTTGAAAATGACTGAACAACCATACTGTACCTGGTTTTACAAGAAACTAAAAAATTATTGGCCGATAGGAATGTAATCCATGTTTTACCATGTCTATAAGGAGCAGAGTCTTGGGGGAGAGGATGGAACTTCTTATGAGGACAGACTTACCCAATTCACTCTGGATCTCATTCATTGGACAACAATAGGTCCCAGCCCTACCCTAGCACTACTTAATGGTTATTTTTTGGGCCTTCCTGGCTCAGAGTGAAGGTAAATAATCTTTTGGCCAGCAACCTTGAGGGTCTTCCCCTCCCAGTTTGATTTTTTTTTAATTAAAGGGGAGATCCCTTGATTCACTTCTTAAAGAGCTCTATTCACTGGATGGGAATTGCCTCATTCAAAGTGAGAACTTGAAGACCTTAGCTTATATGTGATTAAGGAAGAAAAATGTGGTTCGGATTCATTCCTCCTACAATAAGACACACTCCTAGAGAGAGAAGTGAAGATAGCTTTAATTAAGATTATAATACAGGTATGGAAAAGCTAGATTTACAGCAACATACAATTAGCAATATGACTATAGTCAGGCTAAGAATACAAAGGATAGCAATAATATAAGAAAACATCATCAATTCGGGGAAGCACCAAAACCTGAAGTCCAAGCTGGGGATTCCCAGGGTACAGCTTTCAGAGTTCCGATTCGGAAAGTCCCAGGCAGAGTGTCCTCTCCATGGGTGAGAATCCAAAGATAGCTGTCCCAATTAGGATTTAAATAGGGCCTCTAACAAAGAAGGCCCCATGCCAGAGGTGTCCATGACTCTAGTAGATGTTTTTACTTGGTCCAGGGACTGGCCAAGTTCCTGGAGCAAGCAAAACATCTTAGAATATTAATTAACTTGATATGTTCTGATGAACTGGCCAGGTTCCCAGAGCATATCTTTTCCTGAGAATTGGCTAAATTCTCAGGTCAACATAGATAACCACACTCTGGCTTATAGCCCAATGTTTAGAGTCATATAGGGGACATGGAAGATCTTTCCTTATAAGATTTATCAATCAGCTTAAAAAGGTCAAGGTCTCCCACTGTGATCCTGGGCCATCACCAGTCGTCCTGATTGATATCTGGCCACTGAACCCAGATGGCTCTGGAGGACAAAGTAAGGCTGGTGACTTTGCACAGTCCTCCCTCCCTCAAATCTAATTCAATTGCAAGTCATGTCATCCTCTCCCTGATGTCATGGTCCTCTTTGAGAACGAAGGACAAACCACAACCACACAACTCATGGCCAACTCTAATCCTGGTCTTGAGGTCGAAGGGGAATACGGGAAGAAGAAGGAGGAAGTTATAGCAAGAAGAAAAATAGAATTGAAGAGCTGTGTGGAGCAGATATCCAAGAGGAGGCACCTGAAGTTTTTATCTGAACTTTTACCCTTCCTTTGCACACATATAAAAACTATTGGCTAACAAACCCTTAGCTGTTTGTTATATAAGATTATCTAAAAGACTTCAGTCTATTAAAGCTGAAAATTGCACAAGGCTTTTGGAACACCCTGCATTTCTGCTAACATACAGAGAAATAAGACATTTTGTTCAGCTAGATCCAAACTGAAGACAGCAAAATCACAGCCAAAAAGCAAAATGGAGGACTCAGTATTAAAATTTCATAAGCATAGAGATCTAAATGAGGGTACTATTCCTGGACCTGTTTTCTTTCCCTTCTGAGTTCAGAACTGCTCTAAGTTCTTGCCCTCTTGCCTGAACTGCCCAAGGCTCTGAAAGAAATTCACTCATAGAGCATGATACTATTGACTTTGAAAATCTAAATTTTTTCACTTAATAACAAACTCCCACCTGGTCATACCCTCCACATCTCAGTGATTCTGAACACCATTATCTAAACCCCATTCCCCAGCCCCCAATCCCCAGTTCCTTATTCCCATCCCCCTCAAACCATACACCTCAGAGTCCCAACCAAACAATACACATCCCTTCCAATGTGCCATCTATAATGTTTGACCCATAGACATTAAACTTGCTTTATCTCAAATCTTTTCCTTTCCCATTCTTTCCATATTCTGGCTCTCACTGAGTCCTAGCTGTCTCCTGATGACACATCTTCCCAGACCCTGTATCTTTCCAGTACTAGTCATGTTTTCACTCATTCCCCTTGACTCACTGATGCAAGTGAAGGAGTTGAAATGCTCCTTGCTGCCTATCGCCAGCTCTAAGTTCTCCCCCTACCACCATCATTCAGTAGCCTCTCCTCCTTTGAGGTCCATGCAATCCATATCTACTACCCAATCAAAATCCTGGTAGCTGCTATCTATAGACCTCTGAGATACCTTCCTTTTTTAATGACTTCAGTACATGGCTCACAATCTTTTTTTTCTTTCCCAACTTCTGCCTAAATATTCAGGGACTTCAATATACATTTTGATACTTCCTCAAACATCCTAACCTCTCGTTTCCTCAAGCTGTTCATTTTCCATCATCTGCTCCTCCATCCCACCTCAACCACACACAAGAATGGTCATATTCTTGATCTTGCCATTATCAAAATGTACCATTTCCATGTCCATGAACTCTGAAATTCCCTTATCTGATCATGATCAATTAGTTCTTCCTCTGTCTTTCAATACCAAACCCTTCTCTTTGTTCACACCATGACCAACAATCCCTTGACCCTTTGGTTCTCTACCAGGCCCCCAGGCCAGCACTGTACTAACTACTCTCTCCTCTTTTCTCCATTTTGACTCCTTGGTGATCCAGTT